ATGACTTTCTTTACAATTAGAGTTCTTTCCATTATTTAATTTTCCATGCACAGAACTTGCTTTGTGTAGAACTTTCTATTGCAAAGTCTTCCTTCTATGGTAAATCCTTCAACTTATAGGATTTGTCCAATCTTGAATAACTGGGCTGGCTATACCTTTAACCGGCTGGGCTTGAATAACGGGCCGGATGTTGATATTAGCAAATCGGGTTGATAACCTTTTGATTCGGCTTGGATAAAGGTTGGAGGGCAAATAACAATGATCATGGGCAAAGAATACATTCAATTTGGGCTTGAGCATGACGGGCCTTTGAAAGACAGATTTTCATCCGTGATGACGTGGAGTAATCTTATTAGAGGAGATTTTTTCCCTCCACAGGGTGGGTTAAATCAAATATATCAACCAAAATCAACTATTGTTTAATTCAAGTTTAGTTAATCAACAATGTTTCTTTAGACAATTGACTGATTAAGGCATAGAAAATCCTATTTGGGTAATTAAAAAAAAAATTACTAATTTATTTCTGAACAATTCACCACTCAGTACCCTATCTCATCTTTTGACCAATTTACTAATCCTATTTGAGAATCTACTAGTGAAAGCAGAATGTGAGGTAGTTCATGGCAAGCCCCTTCCAACACTATGGAATTCACTCAAAAGCATGCTTTTTGTAAGTATTTTAATTTTCAAGAAGTAACTTTAGAGCTTTACCCTATATTAAGTACTTTTGCTTGTCAAAGTTGATTTTTTTTTAGTTCCGAAAAGATTTCCATCTTCAAAAAGCTTGGCATGTTGATAAAAATTGTTTCAGATTCAATCTCTGCAGATTTCTAATCCAATTCAATCCAATTCAGATTCTTTTATTTTTTCTTTTTTCATGCCCAGATTCAAATTTAATTGAGAACAACAACAACAACAACGAAAAACAGAAATAGAAGTTATAGAAATAAAAATATATATATTTGTTTTGCTGAAATAAAATGTAGATTATGGTGATTGCCCCAAAATGCAATGCAATGATTACCTCAAAATACAATGCAAATTTTGTTACTTTATATTGTATATATATATATATATATATATATAAGATCATAAAAAATTTCACCAAATAGGATTTAGTTTGCAAAACAAGGATTACAGACCTTGACTAGTTGATTTAGAAAAAATAAAATAAAATTAAAACAAAACCCAGACATACAAGTTAGCAGTTGCAAAGAGCGAGGGTGGCAAGCTTGAGAGTTGAGAGACAGCGAGCCAGCGACTGAAACTTGCGAACGGTAAACCCGAACTGGAGAAGCGGGCGATGGAAAAGATATGGGTTTTGATTTTTTGAACAATCTGAAATGAAATGCCGATATGGGTTTTGATATAGGTAATAGGTTTTGAGCTTGTGATTCTTGCAGACAGATAGAAAAACTGAAATATATGGGTTTTGAACTTCTGATTCTTGTAGATTTTGTAGTATGCAGTTGCAGGGGGCAAGTACAAAGTTGAGAACGAGATTAGAGATGGAGGCGATTGGGGAAGCTGAAATGATTTGCCCTAAAAAATATATATATATATACTCCAGTGGCCATCATCCATGGGCCTATAAATTTTGAGGCCCGAGGCCCTAGGCGACCGCCTTTGTCGCCTTGGGTTAGGGCCGGGTCCGGGTTTATTTGACTTGGGCTTTTATTTCAGTATGGGAGCTGAGTTGACTTGGGTTTGATTGGGTGGGCTAATTTTGAGGTGGGCTAATTTTATTGATAATTATTTTTTTTTTGGACTAGGCCAAAATTAGTATAGAAAAAATCTTTTATTTATTTATTTTTGGTTTGGGAGCCCACCCCTACATCCACACCCTTCACAAGCATTATTCAAAATTGATGTTTTAGAGCTATGGAGTATTACATAACCGATTTCTAATGAGTTTAACTTCCTTTAGGGCCTGTTTGGTATGTGGTCTGTCTTGTTTTGTTCTGTTCCAGCCCCGCTACAGTAGCTAATTTCAAATCCAAAATATGTTTGGGTGGCCTTGTTATGTTTTAAACAGTACTGAAACATACTAAAAAAATGGCCCAAATTCTGAAACACTATTTTACTCTATTTAGCCCACATCATCGCACTATAGCGGAGAATGCATATTGGTTCATTTTACTGTAGCAGCTGAAACACGTGCGCCTCATATAAAAGCAAAAAGTTCCTCATTTGCTAGGGTTTCCACGAGCTCTGCAGATAGGTAATTGTAATTTGAATGCGGCACTGCATAGCTTTCATTTTGAAACTTGAATAACTTAAGACCACGTTCCAATGCCCTCTGATCATTCTTGTAATCAATCCTAGCTGCCATCGAATTCCAACTCTTGAGATCGATTTGGTGCAACTTGGAATCAGCATTTTTGATAGATTTTTGATCGATTTGCTGCAACGTGGTATCATCATCTCTCTCTCTCCCTCTCCTTCTAACTCTCCTCTACCCCCACCAACCTTTAATTTCTTTTCCCTCCCCTTTTCTCACCATTTTAATCTCAGATTCGGTTACCTACCCCTAAACATGTCACATGATCTCTCTCTCAGGAAGAAGTACAAGATCGAACGGCAACTACACCAACCAGTGGCCTTTCTTTCCCGCTTTCAAATCCCTAATCAGCTCCTCCTACAAGCCCTCGCCGTTATGTGCGCCTCATCGGAAAACACCACCGGATTTTAACACATTGTTATACCCAAGACCAGAAAACCCAGTTGCCCGCAGGAGACACCGCCGGATTTTCACACATTCATTGTTAACATTTTATTGAAATTCATGTTCATCAGTAGCTCTTGATTTCCCGGCGGCCTTCAAGATTTCACTGCACTTTTATTCTCTCTCTAACTAAAAAGATCAGAAGTGAATTGCAATTAAGTCTTTCTCACTGTTAAATAATGTTAATTTCTGTTTCATATCTTAGGTGACTTTTGTTGTTCCTTTCGTCAAAAATATCTCACACACTGATAACGAGATTGAGTTTACCATATCTGTATTCGATCATTATTTGTTTAGAGATGAATGCTTCACATCTCCATCTGAGAATTTATTCATAGAGAAAAAAGGCTGAGAAATTCTAAAACTTAGAATGGAATTCCCAAAATCCAACTCCTCAAAATGGAATGCTGGTGAGAAAATTCTACACCGTATGGTACTTTCCTTTCTAATATAATATATATATATTTTCTCACCAGCATTCCATTTTGAGGAGTTGGATTTTGGGAATTCCATTCTAAGTTTTAGAATTTCTCAGCCTTTTTTTCTCTATAAATAAATTCTCAGATGGAGGTGTGAAGCATTCATCTCTAAACAAATAATGATCGAATACAGATATGGTAAACTCAATCTCGTTATTAGTGTGAGAGATATTTTTGACGAAAGGAACAACAAAAGTCACCTAAGATATGACTAAATTACCCTTATGATATTCTACTTTATTTAAAAAATAAAAAATCATATTTTACAAATTACAATATTATCCTTTTGGTTTAATCCAACAGTGTAATTAACAATTACAATTAATAATTAACTAACAACTAATTACAATCCGGCGAGATATGACAGTTTATTCACCGTCGGAGATTTGAATTCTCCGGCAAGATTAAGGCGGAAAATATATATATTATATAACTAAATTACCCTTATGATATTCTACTTTATTTAAAAAATAAAAAATCATATTTTACAAATTACAATATTATCCTTTTGGTTTAATCCAACAGTGTAATTAACAATTACAATTAATAATTAACTAACAACTAATTACAATCCGGCGAGATATGACAGTTTATTCACCGTCGGAGATTTGAATTCTCCGGCAAGATTAAGGCGGAAAATATATATATTATATATAATTAACTAACAACTAATTACAATCCGGCGAGATATGACAGTTTATTCACCGTCGGAGATTTGAATTCTCCGGCAAGATTAAGGCGGAATAATATATATATTTTTCGCCTTAATCTTGCCGGAGAATTCAAATCTCCGACGGTGAATAAACTGTCATTTCTCGCCGGATTGTAATTAGTTGTTAGTTAATTATTAATTGTAATTGTTAATTACACTGTTGGATTAAACCAAAAGGATAATATTGTAATTTGTAAAATATGATTTTTTATTTTTTAAATAAAGTAGAATATCATAAGGGTAATTTAGTCATTTCACATACCGGTTCATTAACAAAATTGAGGTAAAATGATAACGTTGTTATTGGATATTATTGGAGGTTTTTAAAACTGGTTGGGTTTTAGAATCACTTTTTAATAGTTTTGGGGCTTTTGAGAAATTTACCCTATATTTTATTGAAAGTTCGGGCTTTGTTGAAAAGTGATACGGACCCAAGACCTTTTCTTTCTCTTCCAAGTTCCAATTAGGGTTTAACAGAGTGGGGTGTTGTATTCGAGTCCAAAACACAGAGAGAAAGGTAACGTGATGGCTGGTGAAAAAAAAGAAGAAGTGAAGGTTATGGGAAGAGGAGGAGGAGAGCGAATGGCACCTTGGGAACAGCACTCAGCTGTGATAAGTATCCCTCGCTTCGATTACAACGCTCCCTCTTCACTCCTCCATCACTCTCACTCTGGATTCCTCGTCACCTGCCCCATCAGTGAGAATTTCAGAATCTACATCTCTATAATTATATACACACACAAAAGAAACTGTATTTTCTTTTTTATTTCATTGTCATAGTTCGCTTCATCGTTAAAATCAGGTCTTTTTTCTTCAAAATTATGTCTCTGTGAACTGTTTCATTTTAATTCTTGTAATATGAATCTCATTTTTACAATATTCTTATGCATACTAGTATACTATATTTCAGCACTCAAAACTGGGGATTGTGCCCTCTAGAGAATGATCTTTTATATTAATCCTAATGCATACATCTTTAGTTACTTGTTCAAGCTGGAAGCAGAGTTTGAAAACTTTCCTATTCTTTCAGAGAGGGAGAAAAGTGCCACAAAAGAAGCCATGTCCGTCCTTGAAAAGGTTTTTTTTTTTTTAAATCTTCTTCTGTTGCTATTTTATATTTCTAAAAGCTGATTTGTGGTTTTCCTTGCAATGAATGGATCAAAAGGCACATTTTAAGAACCATAAAGACAAAAACAAATGCATCCTTGGACGATGGCTTTAATTCCTTGGAATGGAGGTCTTAGGCATTGGTTTCCAATGATACGCTAGTAACCATGTAGGACATTAAGGAACACTCCCAATAGTTGAATAGCAGCAGTAAAAATGAAATCTTAGGGATGAATGTAGTAAGTTGTTTTTCTTTTCCTTATTTTGCCTTCCTTTTATGGTGGCTGATTGGCCAAGTTATGGATTTTAGGATTTGTAGTCAGCACAAGAGAGAGTTGACTCAGTTGAGGTTTTGCTCCTATATGTAGACAAGAAAAGGGAAGCTTGGGGGCCATTCTGGGTACCATGAACAAATATTTTGAAAAATAATAGTGAATTACATGGGATTGTAATGTGTTAGGTTGTATGGTTGTGTTGAATAAATGAAGTAGGCTAGGTTGTGCTTGCCAGGGAAAAAAAATCTCATGGGCTAGAAATTGTTTAAACGGATCTGGTTGCAGGATTCTAAAGACACAGTAGTGTAGAAAACTGAAGAGAAGAGGAAGGAAAGTAGAAGCATACCATAGGCATCACAAAACGGTTGGAAAAACACCAGACTACTCCAAAGAACTTCAAAAACTGAAATTTAGCTTAGCTGATCTCATTAATTTGAAAGAGTACATAGATGTGTGAAGGTTCTTATGTAATTCTAATTTAATAGGACTTGGACTATTTATTTAGAAATTAGATATTTTGATTAGCAAAACCCAATATAAACCTGCTAATTTTGCAAATAAGAATCTTACTTATCAAAAAAAAATTTGCAAATAAGAATCTAATACCGTAATTTGACACAGACTACTTTAAGCCAATATACTGCGAATTTAAAACTGATCAAAGTAACATGATTCTGAAAAATTGATAGATTTTAAATAACACTGAACCAGTAGCTAACCGACTTAAAGAGCATAAAAGACTTGACTATGTAATAGTCTCAAATGGGTTCCACCTTGATAACTGACCAATTTCCAGGATTTCTTTCTCTTTCTAGGGCTTGGGCTTCCAAAATGCAAAGCAGTTCCATGATGATTGATGCATTAGAATGGCCCCCCCCCCCAAAAAAAAAAAAATAAATAAATGATGAGCCAATGTACTTAATTTTGTATTTTCGGTTCATATTTTAATTTTCTTCTCCAGTACCAAGCATCTCATTCAAGATTGCATTGCATACAATCAAAGAGTCCGATTCGAACCACACGTGATCTAGATTTGCTTGAGCAACCCACTCCAAAGCCTTTCTAAGGCAAACAGCTTCAGCTGATGTTGCATCCTTAGCTGGAAATTGCCCAAATACCATAATCTTCAAAATGGTACCTGAAGAATTGCGAAAGATAGCACCTCCACCCGCTACTTGTAAAGATGCATGGAAAGTTGCATCAACATTACATATAATCTCTCCCACCCCAGGAGGACACCAGCCAGAAGAAGGAAAAGAGGCAGGATTAAACTGTTGCACGCCTAAATATTGTCTACCACCATATACTGGAGGGCCTCCAAGATAAAGATCGTAAAATTCCCAAAAACTGCTAATGGCCAGATTTAGCACCTTGCACTCATCCCACATATCATCTTTAAACACTAGGGAATTTCAACTCTTCCATATATACCAACAGCTTGAAGCCGCCAAACCCATTGCATCCTGACTCATATCCACCTTCGACCAACACCCAACGAAGCTAGTCCACCATTCCATGAAGGAATGCGAACAAGCTTTTGCAAAATCCAATAGGAGGGGCGACATTTTCCAGATTGAACAAAAGGTGCTCAACCAATTTAACTTCCAACCCGCATCGGGGGCAAACTGCCTCTTGCAACAGTCCACACCAATGGAGATTCACTTTAACAGGCAAAGCTGTTAGAACACCTCCAAGGAAAAATTTTGATTTTACCTTTAGCTTTGCATTTCTAAATGCTTTGCCAAAACTTAGATGAATCAACCATGGCACTGGAACAAGCAGGGAAATGCTTCTCCTTTCGCTTCGCTAAATTATGTGCCAAATGGTACACTGATTTTACTGTGAAAATCCCATGAGGATCTGGCTCCCAAATGATCTTGTCATGCGTATTTGTTTTGCTAAAGTGATATTTACAAATATCATCCACCACAGCATCAACTCTCTATTCCACTCTTTCTTTTGTGAATCAAAAAAATCCACCACTTTTTTGAGGATAGTCAGAAGAGGGTGGTATTGGAGCTTAAAAGGAAGGTCTGGCACCCATATATCTTTCCAGAAATGAACTGATTCTCTATTCCCATCCAGCCAGTGTTAATCTGCCTCCACAAGATATTGCGTGGATATAATGCTCTGCCAGGCCCAGGATGGGTTAGATCCCAGCTTAGACTCCAAGAAAGAACAGTTATGAAAATATTTGGTTTTAAATAAACGGAAGGCTAAACCTTGATTAATAACCTGAAAGTTCCAGCCATGCTTGGCCAGTCATGCGTCATTATAGTTCTCAAGACTTCTAAATCCCAGACCACCCTTTGCCTTGCCAGAACACAATTGCTCCCATCCACCCTATTTAATTCGGCCCTCCTCATCCTTTGATCCCCACCAGAATCTACGAATAATTTTTGTTATGGACATGATTAACTTTATTGGCAATATAAAACAAGACATCATGTAGGTAGGCAAAACACTGAGAACATCTTTAAGGACGACTCCCCTTCCTGCTTCAGAGAGAATGGATGATTTCCAAGATGCCAAGCGGGAGGTCTTGTGTTGTAAAACAAACTGATATACATCCCACTTCGATCGCCAATCAAAGCTGCATACCCAGGTACCTATCTCTCATGCCGCCTTCTTGAATTCCAAATAGCTGGCAACAGTTCCTCTTTCTATCGTATGAAAGGTATTTCACAAAAAAGATAAAGAGGACTTAAGAGAAATTAATTTGTTGGCCAGATGCACATTCATATCTTTAAGGACGACTCCCCTTCCTGCTTCAGAGAGAATGGATGATTTCCAAGATGCCAAGCGGGAGGTCTTGTGTTGTAAAACAAACTGAAATACATCCCACTTCGATCGCCAATCAAAGCTGCATACCCAGGTACCTATCTCTCATGCCGCCTTCTTGAATTCCAAATAGCTGGCAACAGTTCCTCTTTCTATCGTATGAAAGGTATTTCACAAAAAAGATAAAGAGGACTTGAGAGAAATTAATTTGTTGGCCAGATGCACATTATATCTTTGAAGCGTGTTGCTCATTAACCCGATTTCAGTAGAAGAGGCTTGGCAAAAAATTATAGAATCGTCAACAAATAATAGATGAGAGATAGTTGGAGCATTATGACAAATTTTTATACCGGAGATAATTTTATTTTGCTCAGCCACTTGCAATGACAAAGAGAGGGCTTCTGCACATAGAATGAATAAGTAAGGAGAGGCCTAGAAGGTTTGAAAAAACCTACAGGAGTTCCGTTGACGACCACTGAATAAGAAACAGATGAAAAACAAGCAACCAATAACTTTATCCAGTGGGGCTGAAAACCCAACTCATGGCAATCATAAAAGCCCATTCAACATGATCATAGGCCTTTCCTTTTGTTCTTCAAATAATGAAGAATTGCATGAGTTGTATGAATATTATCCTTAATCTGACGCCCTGAAATAAAAGCGCTCAGGATCCACGCACAATATTAAACAAAAAAGGTTTTAAACGATTTACGAGCACCTTTGCAATAATTCGATAAGAGGCATTACATAATGAGATTGGATGATACTGAGACACTTGAGTAGGAACATCTACTTTAGGGATCATCACCAAGTTAGTATGATTCATACTATTTAACTTAAGTCCAAAATGCATAAAACTCGTAACCGCACCACCAATATCATCTTTAATTACATACCAGAATTTTTTATAAAAGAGAGGAGTCATACCGTCCGGTCCCGGTGTATTCCTGGGTACGTATAAAAAACTGCTGCTTTGATTTCTTCTTCAGTTGGTGGGCAGATCAAACTTTGGTTCATCTCTGGAGGAACTCTTTGGGGAACATTGCATAAAAACTACTCAATACCAGATGGAGATTGAGACTGAAACAAAAAGTGGTACAAGAATGTAGCTTGAATTGCATGCTCCTCTTCAATCCACTGATTCCACTGCCCAGTAGGATTTTCAATACTTGAAATATGGTTTCTCCTCCTTCTAATGGTTGAAGCATGGAAAAATTTAGAATTTTTGTCCCCATGCCTCAGCCACTGCACTCTGGACTTTTGATACCAATATATCTCTTCCTCCCTCCGTAGTGTGTGAAGCTGCTTCTGTATTTCTCGAATTTGGTCAGGATTATAATCAGATGATGACTCTTTGAGACGTTGAACATTACTTTCAGCTTCCAAGTATTCTTGCTCGCATTTTGCTGCTGAGACCGAGCCCAAATTATCAATTCTTTCTTGCAACCTTTTAACTTTTCTGACCACCTGTACATCGTTGAACCACTAACTTGAGATCGCCAAACTTGCTGGACAATATCTTCACACTTCTCTTCCTCCACCCACCGTGCATCAAAATGAAATTGCCTTGCTTTCTTTGAAAAAGAAGGATAAAAATTTAACAAAATAGCAGAGTGATCGGACCCGACCACTGTAAGATGAGATAGACGCGCAGAGGGAAAAGCAGAGCGCCAGTCTCGGTTGCCAGAGCTCTGTCCAGACGTTCCTGCACATTAGCCTCGCCATCATGTTGATTACACCATGTGAAAGGGTAACCGTCAAACCCAATGTCCGATAATTGGCAATCATCAATGAGACTCTTAAAGTTCCTCAAAACCCAGCAAGGCTTGGCCAATCCCCCTTTCTTTTCAGTTTCGCCATAACAGATCATTGAAATCTCCCAAAACAATCCATTACCCTTCCCACGTTGCTTTCCTTTGTTTTAACTCCCACTGAGAAGCTCTAACATGGTCCTCAGCACTTGCATAAAGAACAGTAAGCACCCACTGTCCAATCCCAGCTGTAAAACTATACAGTAACCTGATAATCACATTGATCAATAACCTGACAAAGATGATCACCATACCAAAACAGAGCTATACCACCCGATCCTCCTTAGTTCAACACACCAACAAAACTTCATACCTAATTTACACTGTACCCTATTCATCTTTGCTATCTTTTTAGTTATCTATTCTCCTTTAATGCATAGAACCAATTATTAAAAATTCGCTTCTTGTTGTACAAGTTTGATTAGTATATGACAACAAATTTATTACAAGACAAAGACAGTAACAGGTCCCTTTCCTTTATCAGTGCTAAGGACCAGTTATGTATATGATAGCAAGTTTCTTACATGGCAAAGACAGTAACATGTTCCTCTTTGTACACCTCTGTACTAACACCAGTTTTCCACCAGTTTTCCGTTGGATGAATTATGGTAGCAAGTCTGTTCAAGTGGTATAATCTTGTATAATGGAAACATTGCAAATTTAATTTCTTTGCTGTCTTTAAATGTTATATCTGCCAGTTTGGAACAGTAAATTGAAGTTATCCAGTAATCACCTGCCTGCCTTTCTGATCCTTGGGTTTTCTACTATTTGAAGAAATTGGGCATTGATTGTTTTGTCTTAAATTCTCAACACATTTACAGGAAGGTTGAATGATTGTATGGAAGAATGGAAGTTGGTTGTTATACTGTTTTTCTTTACTAACAATGGTTTTAATTTGCTACCACATTTGCATTTTGTTTTTGCGAGTTGAATTAAGGATCTTGCTTTAGTGAATGTTTTCTTGATATAAATGCTTATGGTCAATGGTCTTCTGTGACTTTGTGCAGTTTATTGGGTTCTTTAATAGTGGCAGCTCTGAAGGTCTGGAAGTCTCTGATGCAAACGTTGCTGCTAAGAGAAGGAAGATATGCAAGGGGGAAATAGATGGAGAATTCACTATTGGTGTAGAAAGTGAAAGTGTTGCTCCTAACTCCGGAGACACTGGTAATAAATCGTGTTGCAGTTCTGTTGATTTTTAGTTAAGGCTTCAGATTCAAAATTTTCTTAGAAATGAGTGATTTACCCTTCCTGTAGCAGGTAAAGCTTCTGCAGGTTCTTGTTTGTCCTCTGCAAAATCAGATACAAATGTGGAAAGAAATCCTATTCTCTCACTTGTTAAGCTGACAAAGCGCGGATTGGTTTTTTTTACCTTCCCTATGAATTATTCTACTGATGTTGTTGATATTTTGTCAAATATTATTCATTCTCTGGAATCTGGAATTTTGAGTTTTCCACTCTAAGTTGTTCACTTGCCTCCATTTCTTTAATATACTTTGTTCTCCCTGCATTCTTTTTCATTATAGTATTCTTATGTGTGAATGATCTTCTAAATCAAGGTATTCCAAAACTACATTTTTGAGATATGCAAGAATATTTATTATGAAGCAAAATGCTTTGTCCTTTATCTCATATTTGTTTGTCCTTGCTTTAAGTAAGTCGTACATGTCTATGTTGCAACAGTAGTGCTACTTGCTGTCCATGAAGTGGAGATTTGCATTGTTCTGGCTTCTATCTAAACTATGAGCACGACTGCATGAGCATACCCCATTCAAAAATATTTTTGTTTTTTTGCTACCATCTAAACTCAGAAGTTACTTTTTAGTTGGCCAATCTAGGCAGGAGAAATCACTAGATCAGCAAACTACCTGGATTAATTTTTCTACATGAATTGAAGATTTCTCCCTTGTTGATTCGATGCATTCCTGCCACATCAATGCTTCATAGCTCTTCTGCCAGTAGGTCTTTTTCTTTCAGATCAAATGATTTAGTGCTTTGCTATTTCAACTTCTTTTGAGTTGCTTCTCTTTTATCATTGATTAGTGAGTGGTGAAAGCTTGGCTTTTTAAAGATACAAAATTCTGTACATGAAACCTTGTCCACGATATTAACCTTCTTTTTGTGTCTCCTTATTTTGATGAACAAGCCTTTGCATTTGGATTCCCTCTGGCGATCATATTCCTCTTTTTTAAAAGCATTCAAAAAAAAAAAGGGGGCGGGGGGGGGATCAAAAGATCTCTCTCTCTCTCTCTCTATATATATATGTGTGTGTTTATATATCTCATTTTCACTATCATCTCTCTTTCACAAGTGGTCTAGGCATAAAACTTATTACTAATCCTCAATCCCTCGCCTAATATTTTTTTTTTTGTTTTTTTTCCTTTTATATTGGAAGGCTAATGTGAATGTCATATTTATTGGTTTTTTATATTCTCATATCAACTACAATCTGAAAGTCTTTTCTGAATAACCATGAAATTACTATAGTGTAAAAAGGAGCAGCGTATTTATTTCATATAGTTTATGACAGCCACCATGAACGTCCCTTAATTGTTTATCAAGGCATTCAAAGTGCTCTTCCCACCAAACCTTTTCCCTTGCGTTTTCCTCTTCTTTTTACCTTTCCCGCTGTGCCCTGATACATTCCTCAAATACGTGTAGTATTATTGCTTGTAAGTTCATAGGTATCCTTTACTGCGTAGGACACACTTTTTTTTTTTTTGTCAAAAAAGGATATCTCCATCTTCAAGTTTGTAATGATTTTACCTTTCCTTTTTAGTTTTGTGAAGTGTTAGTGCCCTATAGAAAACACAGATTTGGCAGACTTAATGCCCAACGATTAGTTGTCATATTATCTTGATCTAACTCCCCTTTATATTTCATTACCTGCTTCCATTTCAGACCCTTACACACCTTATGTTCTACTACAACTCCTGTCACATCCATTTCAGACCCTTACACACCTTATGTTCTACTACAACTCCTGTCACATATCAAGATAAGGGATCTGGCATATTACAATTTAACTTTTTCTATTTATGAAATTGAATTTTGTGGTTGAGTTTGTGGTGAATATAGCTGTCTTTAGCTGATCTTACTGAATTTCTAGTGAATGGCATTTCTTTGGTGCGGTTGGTGTCATCGCATATTCCCTGTCCAAGCTACTTGCTGTTTAAATGAGAAGGAACTTCGTCCAGTGGTGTCAAACCTTGTTCTTCAGTTTGTGAATAATAAAGAAAACCAACTTGCACGGCCTATAAAGGTATGAGTTGATTTTGTTGTCACTGCAGACAGTTCATCATTTATATATACAGATGCATGTGTAAAAATGGTTGAAGAGAGAGAATGTGGTAAGTTAGCATACAGGGATTGGTGAAATCTGTGGCTTATGGTGCATTTTCACATGTCTGGGTTTAATGGATATTACTCCTATTATCACCATGATAAGATAGTTAACACATTTTCTGTTGCCATGTCTATACTTGCTGTTAATTATAGGGATAAAGAGGGTATTGTGGAAAATAGAAACAACCTGTACATGTACTGAAAGATCGTTTAAGCAAGCACGAGTTATTTTCTCATGTAATTTCATTTTTCTTTTTTCCTTTTTATTTATTTTTTTCCAGATAGGTGACTCATATTAACGATTACTATTTTATGGAATTAGTCCAAATGTTTGCTGAAGTTTGTTGTTACACATGCTGCCACAATTTTTATATGGGTTGCAAACAACAACAATCAGTACTATCTTTTTTTTTTCTTTTACAGGTGATAAGAGTTTAGTTTAGTGGTGGTGATATTTTGGCTACACTAGAATAACATTTTTGTATAACATTGTAGTTTGCAGTTGGGTATAACAGAAGAGGAATTGAAGAGACAGGTGAAGATTTAAAAAAATACTTCAGGAGATTCTGATGCATTCACTTTGTTAGAGAGCAACAAATGCTTCGGCATTGTAGCTGCAGCCGTTAAAGATGCTGTATCAGATTCGGTGGTGGACCTGAAATCTCCAGAGGTACAAAGGACCCAAGCTACGACATAGTGATATAACCTTTTTCTTTCTCATCGTATTGTAGCATGTACTGATCATAAAGGTTAGTGATATAACCTTTATCTATCTCTGGGGTACCCATTGGGTCGTTAGTGGTTGCCATCTCAGTTCTTCCGCACAACCTTGTTAGCACTAAGCCACGACTCTGCATTAAGGCATTGGTTTCCAATATGAAAGCAGGGAGTGAAAGGAAGATTAAATGATGGTTCTAAGGTCATAGATTGTTCTCTTTGCATAGAAGAGGACTCAAAATCAAATACCATCTGTTGCTATTTTCAGAAGGGGATGGAGCTGTGCTTTTCGGCTTCTATGGGTTTCCCTGAAACCTTGTTGATCTTTAAATGAGGATGTGATCATAAATGGTGCTGGAAGATAACGGAGGTGCAATTGCATGATTGTAATTTCCCATGTGTCTGCTTCTGCCAGATTTGCCTTTTGGGTTGCAACTGATTTTGCCCGTTCACTAGATCCCAAATTGCCAATTGATTTGTAGTTTTGTAGCTTCTCTTTATGAGTTTACTTATCGTTTTGACCTTTTTCATTTGTTGGCCTGATTTGGGCTCGTGACAACCACAGAAAATTGAGCTCGCTAGAATTGGTTTGTGAGTTCATAATATATATATATCCGAGTGCTTGGAAGCCCTCAGCTAGTGTTTTAGAACAAGGATTTCAGTTTTAATAGCACTTTTTTTTTCTTTCTAAATTATAGGTGGAGAAGGCAATGTTTGTTGAGAATTAGATTGCCAATGATATCGGTGGAGAAGGCAATGTTTGTTGAGAATTAGATTGCCAATGATATAAATTATAGGTGGAGAAGGCAATGTTTGTTGAGAATTAGATTGCCAATGATATCATTGGCAATCTAATCTCCACCTATAATTTAGGAAAGAAAAAAAAAAATGCTATTAAAACTGAAATCCTTGTTCTAATATATATATTCATTCACCTAGTAGATAACTAGCAAGCTCACAGTTTGAAAGTAGTTAAGATGAGGGAAATGAGAAAGGTGTGAATTAATACTTTTTTTCTTTTTCACATTCTCTCTCCTTCATTATGGTATTGAACTCCATGTTTATATATAAGGCCGTTTACCTGCTAACATTCTTAACTTGGGACCCGATGACATGGAGCTAAATGGTGATGGTATGCACAACATGAATGCACAGATGTTATATGCAAAAAGGTTAGTCATCCTACCGATCGGGCTCACGCATCTATCAGAAATCAAGTATAAATAAATATAACTCGTGTACACCCTCCAAATCAGACTTAATTATTTTGCTATATACTTAGGTTGTTGGGGAAAGTTGCAGTCGTAACTGGTGGTGCACGAGGGATTGGAGCAGCCACAGCAAAACTATTCGTGGAAAATGGGGCTCATGTCGTCTTCGCAGATATACTGGATGATCTGGGAGCCACTCTTGCTGATTCTATTGGAGGCCGCCACATACACCGCGATGTGGCCAAGGAATCTGATGTAGAATCAGCCGTGGAGCTTGCAGTAACATGGAAAGGCCATCTAGACATCATGTTCAACAATGCTGGCATTTCAGGTCATGAATCACGTAGCATAACCAATCTCAACAGGGACCACATGAAGGCCCTACGGAGGTTCCTTGGAAAGAGGGATGTGAGCACTGAAGAAGTGAGTCGCATAGTGGGTGAAAGTGCGAGTCTGCTGCGTGGGAGGAGCGGAAGACTGGAAGATGTTGCGCAAGCTGTTCTGTTTCTAGCCAGTGATGAAGCTGGATTCATAACAGCACACAACCTTGTTGTTGATGGGGGCTATACTTCGGCTGCCACTCATATGAGTTTCATCTACCAAGGCCAATAAATCTGCAAATTAATCAAGAATAACATAATTACCTAATACTACTTAAGTACGTACTATGTTAAGATCTTATGTTAAGAACACGCAGTTTGCAGACATTCATAAAATGGTTAATTACCACATTTTCTCTGTTATTAACATCACAATCTTTACCAACTTGATTTTCAAATTAAGTTGTGTGCAAAATTAGAAAATGATGGTTTAGAAGGAAGTGAGTTTGGAAAGATGGAATATTTTTAGTTGAGTGTTAATCTCCGTGGGAGCAATTTCAATATTCAACCCTTTGGGGTTTTAATAAAAATCGAGAAGGAAAAGGGAAAAAATAGATTTTGAAAAGCCAGGGTCTCTTGCTAATTTTCTTTGTGTTATTTCTATTTTCTACATTATTAAGACACAGAGAGTAAGACCATTACCCTTAACATACACCCAAAAAAATAAAAACATCTTTATAGAAAGTTATATTCGTAATTTACTAGTAGGAGAAATATTTAAAAGAATATTTCAATAATGACTCCATTAATGATGTTTTCATTCCATAATTGATTACTGATTAACAAGGGTTGACCGATTTCCTTCCATGCATGATAATTTCTCAATGTGTTGATGTTAAGCAACATCTTCTATAGTTAGTGGAATAAATATTGATCATAGCAATCAAACTTCAACGAGATACAAATAAGGAAATATAAATTTTGAGAATATAATACGAAGAAATAAAAAAAAAAAAAATTGAGGTGAAGCTTTCAGAATGTTGTTTTTTTTTTTTTTTTTGGGTGGTTGTCAAAGGTAAAGGTAAATTTATTAAAATAGAAAATTTACAATAATGTTCTTTCACGGTTCCAGTGAAAGAGAGAAAATTAGGTTTTTTTCGGAAGGTAAAAAATTCAGGGACACTTGGCAACACAAGTAACCAATTAGTTTATATAAATAGTCCTGAGTCGTGAATCAAAAGCTCAAAACCTATTACCAATATCAAAACCCATATAGGCATATTATATGCAAGGATATCTGTTAATGTCAATGCTACATTTCATATGCAAGGATGTCTGTTAAAGGAAAAGGAGAAAAGGAGAAAAGGAGAAAGGAAAAAAAATTGGGGTGAAGCTTCCAGAATGTTTTTTTTTTTTTTTTTTTTTTGGGTGTGAAAGGTAAAGGTAAATTTATTAAAATAGAAAATTTACAATAGAGAAAATTCTTGTTCTTTTTGGAAGGAAAAAAATTCAGGGACACTTGGCAACACGAAGTAACCAATTCAGTTTATATAAATAGTCCTGAGTGGTGAATCAAAAGCTGAAAACCAATTACCTATATGAAAACCCATATCGGCATATCAAATGCATGGATATCTGTTAATGTCAATGCTACATTTCATATGCAAGGATATCTGTTAAAGGAAAAGTAGAAAGGAAAAAAAAATTGAGGTGAAGCTTTCAGAATGGTTGTTTTTTTTTTTTTTTTTTTTTGGTGAAAGGTAAAGGTAAATTTATTAAAATAGAACCGTGAAAGAGAGAAAATTCAGGTTTTTTTCGGAAGGTAAAAAATTCAGAACACTTGGCAACATGAAGTAACCAATTCAGTTTATATAAGTAGTCCTGAGTGGTGAATCAAAAGCTCAAAACCTATTACCTATATCAAAACCCATATCGGCGTATCATATATATAGTCAGTGAGTTTGGAAAAGGAGAAAGGTAAAGGTAAAGGATACCTGTTTCTAGCCAGTGATGAAGCTGGATTCATAACAGCACAACCTTCTTGTTGATGGGGGCTATACTTCGGCTGCCACTCATATGAGTTTCATCAACCAAGGCCAATAAATCTGCAAATTAGTCAACAATAACATAATTACCTAATACACTACTTCAGTAGGTACCATTTGGAAGTCATGAATTCAGAGCTGATCACTTATGTTAAGATGTTACACGCTTAGTTTGCAGACATCCATAAAAGGGTTAAATTACCACATTTTCTCTGTTATTAACATGATCTTTATCAACTTGATTTTCAAATTAAGTTGTGTGCAAAATTAGAAAATGATGGTTTAGAAGAAAGTGAGTTTGGAAAGATGGAATATTTTTAGTTTAGTGTTAATCTCCGGGGGAGCAATTTCAATATTCAACCCTTTGGGGTTTTAATAAAGTCAAGAAGGAAAAGGGGAAATGAAGATATAAGAAATTTCTCTCTCTATTTTGACAGAGTTTTCTTACACTTCAAGAATTATATCCCCCTTTTCCCCTCTTCTTTCAGCTTATTTATAGACTGTTACATGCCTTCTAGAAGCTTCCTACCTAACTCACTGTGTTGGCCCCCCTCCTGGGCTTCTCTAGTTATGGGCTTAATTGCATTCTGTGGATCCTCGGCTGGTTCTTTAGCTTCGGGCCTGTCTTCTCAAGGCTTAGTTCGGACCACGATCAATTACCCGGCCCATTGTTCTTCTCGCGGGTTGTATCCAACCCACGCCGTATTTGGCGTCCTCAGCTGCTCCCATAATGACTCCCTAATTAATTAGGGAGTGATTATTAATGGTCAGTAATCATGACTTGGCGGCTCAAGACGATCGTGTAGGGGAGTGAGCAGTCGGTTCAAGAATTGATGTTTTGAAATTCGAAAACTCTTTAGTTTCTTGACGTCTCGGCTTTTGGGTCCACTTTCTCTTTATAAGCCAAGGAACCCGTACTCATATATCTCTCTCTATCGTCTCTATCACGTATTGCTGTCAATTAACTTTACTGTTTGTCCCTTTCAAGCAAATCAACTCCTCATCGGCGAATTCTTGCATAAGATTTTCCCTTTTCAGTTGCCCTGCAGCGTTTTTGCGATCTTCAATTCTGTCGAGGTTAGTTTCACTTTCCTTCATCTTCTTCTCCTTTTATTTTAAAAAAACTTTACACACTCCCTTGTGATTTTTACTCACTTCCGCCATGCCCATTGATTTAGATGTTCTTCGCATGAAACTTCAACTTCCTAGTGGTATACACATTAGAGAATGCCCTAGGAATGTGGATATTAGGACTGGCGCCGGCCTTCTTCCCAGCGAGATCTTGTTTTCCCTCCCTTATCTAAATGTTATTAGATTTCCTCTGCATCCTTTCTTCAGTTATGTCTTTAATAGGTTAGGGCTTTCCCCTCTTCAGGTGAACCCCAATTTTTTTAGGGTTCTGTCTGTTCTGCTACTTCTGAACCGTGATAGGGGTCTGGATCTGGATATCATAGATTTTCTCCTCTGTTACAAGGTTAATAAGATCAGGCTGAACGGCATGTATTATCATTTTTACCCTATCGAGAAGAGGTCAATTTGTACGGATAAACTTGACTCGGAGAAGGGTTGGAAGTGCAACATAGTTGGGGTTAGAGGGGCCTGGTTTACTCCAGCTGCTAGGGATTATCCCATCCCGAGTGCCTTTAGTGAATGCTTGGTCTCTTTATATAAAAAGTACAAGAATCACAAAAGTGATTGCCCTTGTGAAGTGTGCACCCCTCGCTTCTGCACTTTTCTTTGCGATTCTTTGGGTATTCCTCATAACGAGTTAAGCTACGGTATTTGCAGGGATATGATCAATCACCTGAAGGAATACGTTCTGAACAACGTTCCTTCTTGTTCCGATCTTCTTGTTTCTGAGAACCTTGCTGACATCTCACTCCTCGGCAGCACTATGAGTCAACTTCGAATTCCTTCCTTGAACAGGAAGAAGGACCCTCCCAGGGTTGTTGCTGCTTCTGCAGCTGCTTCTTCCCCAGCTTTGACATCCTCTTCTGCCACTACCTCCAGCACCACTCCGAACATAGTGGCTGGTAACCCAATCATCACTGCCCCTCATGTCAATCTGAACGCCAATCCTCAAGTCAGCAATCCCTCTGCTATCATTGTATCCGTCCAGGACATGAAGCGAGAGAAAAGGCCTCATCCTGACAGGGAACCAGTTCTGATGATGTTCCTCTGATAAAGAGGATTCGAACTTCCAGGCTGAGCGTGCCCACTCCTACCTAAAACAGACCAACTGCTCCCCTCAAACGAGACCATGTTCAAAGATGGCCCAACCGCTATGGCCTATTACAATAACCTGTGGTCCTCCAAAGATATTGAGGTTGCCAAAGCTCTGACACAGAAATAGGTGTTGAGTCGCTTTCCTCTGGCTGCCATGGAGGTAATTCCCTACTCCTCTCTTGATTACTTTAAAAATGTCTTCATATTCTAACTTCTCTGGATATACGTTCGGCTTAATTAGTATTCATGCATTGGTTTGCAGACCCTGTTTGGCATGATGATGATGCAAAAACATGTCGAGGCATCCAATGCCAAGGCTCGCAGGGCCGTTAGTATGCTTGATGTAGCGAACAAAGAAAACAAAATCATCAGCACCAAAAACGCTGAACTGATGGTGCTACTGAATAAAGTTGAGAATAAAAGGGATGCTCTGAAGAAAGAAACGGACTCCCTTCAGGACGAGAGGAATGCCCTTCAGATTGAGAAGAGTGTCTGGCAGACCGAGCGGGAAGCACTTAAGGCCGAAAGAGAAAATCTCCAACGCTTGCTTCATTACGAACAGACAGAGCGACTAGCTTGTGAGAAGATGGCTCTAGATGAGCGCAATGCCTTGCTCGGCATCATTGGCAAGGTTAATGGTGGAATGATGGCTTTGCATGGTCGCTTCTCCCGGATCAGAGCCTTCAGGCATACTGAGGGTTACAGAGAGGGTTACAGTAACCGTCTTCCTGCTAAAGGTCAGTCCAGTTCCTGTTCTGGTCCAGATGATATTGATAAGAAGTTGGATATTGATTCTCTGGGAATTTATGCTGACCCAGACCCCACCCCTGCCGAGCACATCTTTTATGAGTGTTAGGAGATTGCTTCTTTGGGGTCATTCCTATCCCTTCGGCTGTCCAACCTCTGTATGTCCCTCTTTTGTCCGCTATGGTTCCTCCTGCACTCACTGCTGAGGGTGGAACACAATAAGATGGAACGATTATCCAACTTGACTCTCCCCCCCGAGGAGAGAGTACAGTTAACGGAGGTGAGGAAAACTCTGCACGCGGTCAAGAGACCGAGGGCACAGACATGACTGAATAATAATCAGCAGATGTATCATCTTCCTTTGTATATTGTTAAGGGTGACAAAGTTTGACACGATCCGTCAACACGACTCGAACACGACACGAGATAAATAGGTTTGGGTTTACTCTAATCGGGTTCGGGTCGTAAATAGGTTAACACGACTAACCCGTTTAGTTAATCGTGTCGTGTTCGGGTTGTAGGATTCAACCCGCATAACCCGTTTAGTTAAACGTGTTATAATTGTATCAATATGACCCGTATAACCCGTTAACCCATTTA